CCCCCCCCCCCCCCCCCCAACAATACCCGGAGACACACCTAAAGTAGGAACCTTACAAAACCCTCGAACTCCCCCTAAAAATCTTTTACCTGAGCCCTGAAGAAGCCCTCAGGCTTGGGTCAAAAGGGGCTGCACCCCCAAACCCAAAAGAGGTTTAGGGTTTAGGGCTTATGGGGTTTAGGGTTTAGGGTTTACTCGTAGGGTTTAGGCAGAACACAAAAAGAGCAGCGGAGGATATGGCGGACACGTGATGTGTCTCCCTGGATCTCAGTGTCATCTGGCTGGAGCCGCGGCCATCCGCATGGGCCAGGAGAACGTTATGGGCAGGCTGGTCTTGGGGTCAAGAGTTGCGGTTTAGGAGTTTGGCTTCGGGTTTAGGGTTTAGTAATTTGGGGTTCAGAAATTTAGGGTTTAGGGTTTAGGGTTTAGTAATTTGGGGTTCAGAAATTTAGGGTTTAGGGTTTGGGGTTTAGGGCTTAGGGATTAGCATTTTTCGACTCCAAGCCCTGAACGCTAGGACCCAGTGACCCTACACTGCAGCAAAATCCGTAAAGCCTCGGTCGCCTGGGCTTGGGCAGGTATTAGGTAGCATTATTAGGGGTACCCCTTAGAGGGTACCCCTTCTGAACCCCACTTTTGGCTCTCTTAAAAGGGACCTTATTGAGAGGGTCTATATCCCCAAGGGTCCCCCTAATCCCTGCTCCCAGGTATCCCTTCCACTTGCACATGATGGGTCAGGTGAATGGGGACTCCTTCTTTGAGGACTGTGACTTGCCCTGGTTTTGGGGGTTTAGGGCTTAGGGTTAAGGACTTTAGGGGGTCTTAACGGGATATTATGGGGTTTGGGGCTTATAGGATTTAGGGCCCAAGGGGGTCGGAATCAGGGTATAGAATGTAGGGCTTGAGGGGGATGGCAGAACCTAAGGCTTGCAGGTCACGTCGTTTTGACACTCTCTTGGAGTGTTGGGACAACTGTGGCTGCTCAAGTGCTTGGGTTCGTCTGAGAGGACCCTCAACCCCAAGCTCGGCTTCCCTTACCAAAAAAACCGAAACCACGCAGCCCTGAACACATGTTCAACAAGACGTTCTGCAAAGCTAGCGACTTCTGGCAAGCACGAGCCCGCTCTCAAACCGCAAGCTCCAAACCTAGACTCTACGCCCCAAACTAAACCCTAAACCCTAAAGCCCGAAACCCCAAAAATACCCTAAAGCCCGAAACCCCAAAAATACCCTAAACCCTAAACCCTAAAGCCCGAAACCCCAAAAATACCCTAAACCCTAAACCCTAAACCCTAAACCCTAAAGCCCGAAACCCCGAAAATACCCTAAACCCTAAACCCCTAAAGCCCGAAACCCCAAAAATACCCTAAACCCTAAACCCTAAACCCTAAACCCTAAAACCCAAACTTTGAACCTGCAGTGTAAGACCTGAACCTGAAGCCTTGGAGCCCGAAAGCTTTGTACCCTCAACCACCCCGGTTTAGGGTTTAGGGTTTAGGGTTTAGGGTTTAGGGTTTAGGGTTTAGGGTTACCCCACCGCCCCAAACTTAAGAATTAGAACAGGGCTTTGGGGTATAGTATACCATAGTTATACTGAGGAACCCCCAAAATAGTATACTTAAGGCCCTAAACCCTAAACCCTAAACCCCTATGTTACTCCGCCTAAAAGCTTTTCAGGTCTGGTTCGGCGCAGCTACTTCCGTGCCTACACGGCCACTTCTGCTCTTGAAACGCTGAGGGGAAAAGGGTTTGGGGTTTGGAGCCTGAATAATCAGCTATGCTATTTTGGGGGTTCTTTATCATAGCTATGGTATAGTATACCCCCAAAGCCCTATTCTAATTATGACGGCCTCTACATCAGGGTTTAGGGGATGGATGTCTTCAGGGCTTTACCAGGCCTCTGGGGTGCCGGAAGAGTTAGACCAGGGTTTACAAGGGGTTCATGATTAGAATGGGCTTTTGGTCCAAGTGTTACGTCTAGAGAGTTTTGTTTGGGGCCTCAAGGAATTGCGCAAGGGTCAGGGTTTAGGGTTTAGGGTTTAGGGTTTAGTCTGTTGGGGTTCTCGTTGTAGAGTTTAGGGCTATATTCTCTGATTGACGATTTTTCTTTCGGGGTTCAGGGATCAAGCGGCTTAGAGAGCCTGTATGGCTTCGTTAGGCATGAATATAGGGGCCTTAATAATTAGAATACGGTTTTGGGATATATTACACTAAAACTAGAATAAGGAACTCCCAAGATATTATAGGTAATTATCAAGGCCCCTACATTACATGGGAGTGCCGGGCTCAAAGGATCAAAGTGCACCGTACCAGGGGGTTCAGAGCGCAGGTTTAGGTTTTCGGGAAAACCTAAGCCCTAAACACAGTTTAGGGTTTGGGGTCCAGGGTTTAGTAAACCCTAAACCCTAAACCCTAAACCCTTAGGGTTTAGGTTTCAGGCGCAAGTTGCCCAAATCCGAATACTCGATCATCTTTGAGAGGCTCGAAAGCTGCTTGTGTTGAGGGTGCTGCAACCACAAGACTTGATTATAGTATTCCTAGTGTAAACATATCATCGGTACCTGCTGGTACATGATACAATATAAGCTTACACCATAATCTACACAACAATATTTTGCACTATCTGACTTTATACTCATGTAGAAGCCTGAGTAGATACCAGGAAGATGTCTTAGGATGGCTGTGCCATGAACTATTGCGGAACCCTCTTCTGATAATCATGAAGGCCCCTGATGAGGTCAGGGTGAACCCCAACAATCAAGGACAACTGAGAGAATGTGCAGACTAAACCCTAAACCGGAAACCCTAAACCCTAAACCGTGTGAGAGGGGTTTCGGGTTTAGGGTTTTCCTGAGTTCGCGGAGCAAAAGGTTTTAGGAACTCCGCAGAGATAGCGATGTCACCTTCACTCCCCACTCCGAAACTCTAAACCCAACCTTGCACCACCCCAAGAAAGAGCTGACAGCTTTAGAAGCCACAAGAGCCCTTCCCCTTCTAGGAGCACTTCCATTGTGTATTGGAGCCCTTTCAAGCAATCTAGGACTCCCTCATTGCTTTTCTGAAGCCTCGCAGGAACCCGAAAAGAAACCCCCACCTAAACCCCTAAAGCCCTAAACCCTAAGCCCTATATACCCCAAACTCCCCACCTGTAGTTTCCTCTAACTCATAAAAAATCTTCGCTCCAAGGTCCATGGCACCTCGAACTCCCGGGTCTCTCGCAACGTGGCCTACGATGTCTCCGGCAGCGCCTACTACCTGGAAGACGGTGTCGCGACTCCGCTTGAGCAGAGTGGCCTTGAGTGTACTTTGGTGGTTTATAGAGATTGGGTTTAGGGTTTAGGGTTTAGGGGCTTTGGGTTTACGGCTCAGGGGGTTTAGGGCCGAGGTTTAAGATTCAGGGCATAGCTATGAAGCCTTTTCCACAATGCACGACTCTAAACCTAAGGTACCCTAAGCTCTAAACCTAAGGTACCTATGCATGAACCTCGCCTCAGAACGACTGAAACAGGAAGCTACGGAGACTTTTTAAACACACAACGGCGAAGTCCAAAAGACCTGTGCCTGCCCAATTCCTCGCGGTGTGGCATGCCGCGCTTACAAAGGGAACCCTATTATAGAGCCCTATAGTACCTTGAAGCCATAAGCGGAACCCTATTATAGAACCCTAGAGTACCCTTAGAATGAACCCGATCCTACAGTACCCTATAGTACCCTTAGAGGTCCTGGAGGGCTTGCGAGCTTTGTCTGTATGCTTAGTTGTGAAATCGCTGAAAGGGCCTGCTTAATACTCTGAAACCCGTTTTAAGCACCCAAAACTCATTCGATGTCATTGCAAAGGCCCCAAGTTTGAGATTTTGAGCTCACGGCAATAACACTCCCAGGAAGAGGATAACTTGTTTGACTACAACCTGGCAGCCTTTGTTCACATCATCGACCGCCTCAACGATTACGAGGCCGCCGAGTGGTTGAAGCTGTTCTGGCCCCCACCACAGCCTAATATAGGGGCCTAAATATTTACCAATACCTTT